TATGACAACAAAAAGTTAGAAAAACGAGGGCAAAATCACAATTGCACTTCAAAGTAGGGGCAAGAACACAAGAGCCCCTGGTCTTTGTGAATTTGCCCCTGTTTTGACCGTTGACTAGGGGCAAAATAGCGTTGACTTGCTCGTAGTGAAGGGCAAAATCACAAAGTTAGAAAAACGAGGGCAAAATCACAATTGCACTTCAAAGTAGGGGCAAGAACACAAGAGCCCCTTAAAAAAACTAGTCCTGAAATGGTTGATTTAGACACTGTGCATTGAATTTAATTTAGGGAACTGCACACTTTCTTGTTTAAGTATAAAGACAAACATTATCCTCATGCAAATTGTCTGCTTGTGTAACTATCAGAACCTGGCTATTTGCTTCCCTCGTGCAGCCTGATAATGAGAGAATGATTTCAAAGCCAAGCAATATATTACCGTACCACCAAGTGAAAGCTTGATATTTAGAAAAGTCAAATATTTCTTGTAAAAGTGCTTACTGAACAGTGTAGCTAAGACTTTGAAAAGAAGTGTATACGAAACCTCAAGTTGTCAAACTACCTACCTAAGGACAGTAATGACTAGCGGAAGTCTGAAGAAGGCAACTGAGTTAGGGAAGAAATAAAAGTTACCCTTGACCAAGCTCCAGGAAGGCAGTGGATACGTGGTGAAAGTTATCCATCAGCACTCTGTAGTGATTTGTTCCACCTGCAAGGACAGCCACACACACCAGTCGGCATCTCTTCTAGAAAAAGAACGACAAGGCCCATTTTTGGTGAACTAGAGCCGCATATTCAGAGGACAGATCCCGTACACGAAAAATGCCAGTCGCGGTTGTAGATGTGCTGGTGGAATTCCTGGAGGATGGGCACCTTCACCTCGGTCGGGATGCTAGTGTCATCCTCTGCAGTCATTGAACATAGTTTATTTATTACTGTGAGAACGGGAACCTCTACAGCCGTCAAATAATTAGCACTCAGTAATCACAACCCCCTCAAAACATTCCAAAAACATCATAGCTTAAGCTAAAAACCAATAGCGCTAGCGTAAGGGCACGAGACTACTGACCAACGGTGTCGAGGGCACGGAGCACGAGGTAGAAGATGCACACCTGCGCGATCGCAACAACAGGCATTAAAACACCACACGGAGTCGGAGCGCCGCGCACACCAAAATTGTTGGGACGAAAGCGAACAAAATCAAAGGCGCCACGCATCGGACTCCAAGTGGCGGCGCAAACGAATTCGTGTGGCGTGGAACGAAAAAAAAGAGAGAGGGAGGCGAAGCGAGTTGGTACTGACGGCATTGCGGAGTTCGGGTCCGAGCTGCTGGATGACGAGGGCGAAGCTGCGGGAGACCTTCTGGAGCATGGAGTAGCCGAAGGCCCAGTGCTCCTCGGGCGGGATCTGGCGCTTGATCTGCCCAGCCGCCACCCGCAGCTTCACCAGCGCCAGCGCCTCCTCCGGCCGCGACAGCGCCCCCATCGCCGCGCCTCCGATCCAACCGACCAGACCAGCCTCCTCGCCGACGTCGATCGAGCGGCTGGGCAGCCCGGTCCCAAAGGCCAGAGGGATCCCGATGCTACGGATGCGATGCGGCTCGTGCAAGCGCGTCAGTGTGGGAGTATTTCTAGCGGCCGCCCCTGGAGGAGACGTCAGCCACGCGCGAGAGAGACGGGGGCGAGATGAGAAGGGTGTCGTCGGCCGCCGCGCTGTCCGTTGAGCGTTGGCAAGCGCTAGTTCCTTTCGTAATTACTCTGGTCGTCCGGGTTGGGTAGCAAACTAGTAGTAGTTGCAAGCGGATCTGGCACGTTGTCTCCGCCTCTCGAGCGCAGCCGCCTTATGGCGAGTGGGTCCCTATGACGCGGCACTTCGGGTGGGCCGGAGTGTCAGTGGCTGAGGCTGGTCTGGGCATGAGTCTTGAGGGCTTTGCCGGATCGCGACGGAGAGCGCGTGAGGCCCTCGTGGCCTCGTGGTCGTGGGGTGGAGGCCCGCCATGGGAGCGCCGGGCTGCCGGCGTCGTCGTCGTGCGAATGCGAACGCGAATGCGATGCGTGGTGCTTGCAGAAGGATCCAGTTGGAGCCTTGGAGTGGACGTGGATGGCATCCGGCTCGCGCCGTCGGCGTCGCATACTCGCATCAATCTTTTTCTTCAGCGCTAACAAGTTTTGTCGCGTCTCGGTCTGAAAGTTGCACGGTACAGTGGTTACGAGCTCAGGAGTCGGCAGACGTGGCAGGTCCGCTGGGTAGGTACATTCCTCTTGTCTCGTACTCCCTAAAGAAAGGCGTTACTATATGTGTAGGTCAAACTTTTCAATTTTAACTAGATTCATAAAAAAATACATGCAACATTTATATCTCTAAATAGGTTTATTATAAAGGTATATTCAACGATCTATCTAATAATACTAATTATGTATTACTAGCAAATATGTCCGTGCGTTGCAATGGGATCCAATACGTAGTGAGTTATAGGACGGATCATGAGTTTGAGTCAAAAAATTAATTAATTAGTGGTAAAAATCTTTGTTTCTTAAGAGTCAAAGATTAAAATGGTTATGATATCTTATTTATTGTTTGTTTTTACTCTTATTATATTTATTAGAACATGAAAAGAACCAGGTGGAGAAAACAATGAAAACAAAATATAAAAAAAAGTCGAGCTAGTGTAAAACATCCATGAGAAAAAAAATCTAAGCATACTCGAAGCTAATTAAGTAGAAAACAATCATAACAAAAATTGAAATGTACTCTAGAAAAGAAAAAACAGAACATATTCGGAAGCAAAGCGAAAAGCGTCCAAATGAACGTAAAGCAACACGTACTCGGAGCAATTAAAAACGGACAAACCAGAAAAGGTGAAAAAAAGGAACAAAAAAGAGACGAAACAAAGAAATTCTACGCTTCTTTCCTCTTTATTAAATTTCTATTCTTATATTTTTGCATTTGGATTAAGATTCATATTCCGGTTACTCGGAATTGGAGAGATCTAATTAGATTAATATTTCTAGTTGTCCATATTATTATATTTTTTCTATTTGATTAAGATTCCTATTCACCCAAAATCAAAAAGATCTAATTGAATTATGATTCCTAGTTATATAGAGAAAAGGGCTATAGGTGGTTTTCCACAACACAAAGTTAAGGAATGGCCGGACAAAAAAATAGGTGGAGAGAAATTTTGCCTCTTTATTAGTAGGTATAGATATAGATATAGATATAGATAAATATTAATGTTTTTTATACATGATTGGTTAAATTTTTTAAAATGTTGACTTGTAGGAAGCGTGAACGTCTTCTATTTTGGACAGAGAGAGTAACCAAGAACATCTTCTAATTTGGACAGAGAGAGTAACCAAGAACGTCTTCTATTTTGGACAGAGAGAATAAGTCGTCTTATATTGTGCTACGTAATTTTAAGACAACTTAATAGATAACATGTGTAATGGTTGTTTTTTCAGTTATGTCGTAGTAACTCACAAATTTCTTAATTTATGCATTAAATAAAAGTAGAGTTGTGAGTTGCAACAACGACTCATATAAAGGTGTTGTCTTATAATCCTGATGAAATTTAGCTCATGGGGTGGTTGTTTTTATAAAACAACGACCTTTTCTCTCCCCACTCTCTCTTTCTTTCGCATCAGAAAAAAAAAATCCAACGTGGCCAGACCAGGTATGGGACCGCAGATAATGTCGCGTGTCGACCACTTGTTCACTGTTTTATTTCGAAGAGAAAAGAGAAAAACACGCAGGCGGACGGCAAGTTTATCTCCTAAGTACTGTCTTGTTGGCCTACACGTCCTGCCAATGAGTATGGCCAGGTGGCCGGACACCCGGAGACCGGAGTAAAGGACTACATGGATGTGTCATGAAACCTTTTTTTTTTTTGGAATCGTGTATAGTGAAACCTGGACCTCAAGACTCAACTAAAACTTGCACCGAACCGGAGACCGTTCTTTCGGCACGCCCACAGAGGCACAGACCACGGCCACGCGGCGGCACAGCCGCAGCACTATCAGCGTTCAGCGGCAGGCCAAGCGGCGCGATGTGCCAGCATGGGAGACCGTAAACGATCGTGTATTATTTACGTGCTAATTTAGTACGAGAGAAAAATACTTTTCTAACTAAAACTTTATGATCATTTATGACAAGCGAACAGACTGCATGGACTGCTCTCTGGTCCCCCTTCCGTCTCGTCTCTACAGCAACCGTGGCCCAAACAGAACCCGGGCCCGCATGCAAGCCGTTCTGGGCCTACAGGAAGAACCGCCGTTTGCATGATGCGCTGGGCCGACCATGCGTCTTCTTCAGAGTATGGCGAGGTCCAATGAGATTGAATGGGCCGTCTTCTGCGCTTCATTCCAGGCGGGAAGGCACTGCGGCCTATGGAGCAGGCGGCGGCGGCGCACCGGCGAATCGGCTGCGCGGGCAGGGGCTGTGTGCCTGAACCTTGGAAGGCTTGGACTTGGACACCAATGTGACTGTGAAACATGCTGAAGATCTGCGACCGATAGTGAACTTCATCTGCAACAGCTCCAGACCTTGTTTTCAGTTTACAGGTCGCTTGAAAATTGCTTGAAAGTTTCTATGCCTTGCCTACCTGTGAATGCTATTATGAAATTTGCATACTTCGAACTCGCATGATTTTTTTTTACCATGGACTTTCGTCTGAACTGGTTTGAAACTTGTATTCCCGGTATCCAAACAGGTGATCAATCGTTCTCAGATGTCCAATCCTACAAACCGCTTGCGCTTTTCAAAGCCACGAGGCACGAGCCCTACAAAGCCACAGCCATAAATTCATATTTGAAGTTAAAATATGAGGCCACGTGTAGCGCGAGATGTTATGCAAATGCTGAAAGGCGACAACTAGAGCGATGTATCAACCACTTCTGTATTTTATTATTTATTTACAGTCCCTTTAAACCCCACCAAAAGTCCAAACCCTCATGATTTACACACATTTCAGCTTTTGCAGCTTTGCTCAAGCACGAAGAATCGAAGATGGATGAAGCGGCAGCCAGCACGAAGCTGAACGTGGTGCTGTTCCCGTGGTTGGCGTTCGGCCACATGATCCCGTACCTGGAGCTCGCCAAGCGCCTGGCGGTGCGGGGCCACGCCGTCACCGTCCTCTCCACGCCGAGGAACGTCGCCAGGCTCCCGCCCGTGCCGGCGGACCTGTCGCCCCGCGTGCGCCTCGTGGCGCTGCCCGCGCCCGTCGTGGACGGCCTGCCCGAAGGCGCCGAGTCCACGGCCGACGTGCCGCCGGAGAAGAACGAGCTCATAAAGAAGGCGGTCGACGGCCTGGCCGCCCCGTTCGCCGCGTTCCTCGCGGACGCCGTCGCCGACGACGGTGGGAGCAGGAGGCCCGACTGGATCGTCATGGACTTCTGCCACCACTGGCTCCCCGCGATCGCCGAGGCGCACGGGGTGCCGTGCGCCGCGTTCCTGATCGTGCAGCCCACCACGATCGCGTTCCTGGGGCCGCGGTGGGCGCAGGTCGCGCACCCGCGCACGACGCTGGAAGACTTCACCGCGCCGCCCAGGTGGTGCCCGTCCTTCCCTTCCGCCATCGCCTACCGCCGCCACGAGGCCGGCTGGGCCGTCGACGCGTTCCGGCCCAACGCGTCCGGGGTGTCCGACATAGAACGCATGTGGCAGATCATAGAGCGCACCCGCTTCACCTTCTACCGCAGCTGCGACGAGGTCGAGTCCGGGGTGTTCGCGCTCCTCACCGATCTCTTCCACAAACCGGCCATCCCCGCCGGGGTCCTCTTGCAGCCCGACCTTGCCGACGGCGACGGCAGCTCCCGCTCAGCAGATGCCCGCTCCGAGGTGCTTCAGTGGCTGGACAGGCAGCCACCAAAGTCCACCATCTACGTCGCGCTTGGGAGCGAGGCGCCGCTGACGGCCAGCAACCTGCACGAGCTCGCGCTGGGGCTGGAACTCGCCGGCGTCCGCTTCCTATGGGGTTTCCGGAAGCCGAGCGGCATGTCCGCGCCCACCAGCACCGACGTGGCCGAGCTGCTGCCTGCCGGGTTCGAGGACCGAACACGGGGTCACGGCCTCGTGTGCTCGGGGTGGGTGCCACAGGTGGCTGTGCTCGCGCACGCCGCGGTGGGCGCGTTCCTGACGCACTGCGGGTGGGGCTCCACCATCGAGAGCCTCGTGTTCGGGCGCCCGCTGGTCATGCTGCCGTTCGTCGTCGACCAGGGCCTCATCGCACGGACGATGGCGGAGCGGGGCATCGGCGTGGAGGTGGCGAGGGACGAGGGAGACGGCTCGTTTGGCAGAGACGGCGTCGCGGCGGCGGTGCGGAGCGTCATGGTGGAGGAACAGGGAAAGGTGTTCGCGAGTAACGCGGAGAGGCTGAAGCAAGCTCTCCGTGATCAGCGACGGCAGGATCAGTACATGGACGAGCTTGTGGGATATCTTAAACGCTACAAGGATGACAGCTGCTAGAACACTTGCAGTTCATAAGATGGCAATGGGCTTTTGTACGTTGGAAAGTGAATTTTCTCCGGAGCCGGAAGAGCGACCTCAAATCATCTTCAACTTTTAAAATCCCTCGTTTCTTTCTTCGGTGTCTAGCAAACAATTAGAAGGGGGACTGCATTGTCATAGAGGCGGTAAGAGCAACTCCAACCGAACTCTTACTTAAGTCCTCATCTTATTTTGAGAGTTCAAACACATTAAAAACCTCTCCAACCGAACCACTATTTAAGCCCCGATGGATGAGGGACTCTCATTTCTCTCTCCTAAACCCTCAGATGTAGGAGTCCCTCATCCTGCTTTCTCTCTTCCATAAAGCTGACAAGTGGGACCAATAAACAGGGTCCAAGACAATACAATGTAAAAGTAGAAAAAATTTAGGAGATCGGTTGGAGTACCCCGAAGAGTAGGGGATGAAATATGGATGAGGGAACTCTCATTTGTAGGAATAGGGAGGCAAAATTTGAGGGATTGGTTGGAGTTGCTTTAAGGGGAGGCTTGAGCCCGCCTGCACCACCGCTCCACCCTTGTACCATTCCAGTCCCACGATCAGGGCTTCACAGGCTCGTAGTAGCCTTGTCAGGCCATGTAGATTTGCATGCCACCCTAGAACATCAGGCACCTTTCGGGCGCCCTACCATGATTGGAAGAACAAAAGCAAGTCTACGTTCGATAGACATGGCTCCATAATTCGATATGGTAAAGCTAAGATGTCAGTCACACACATTAATATATAGTAATTGCCACCATCACCATAGTGTCAGTACCTAAGATCAAGCATATATCATATCATACCATTAGAAACATGACAAATTATGAAGATGGTTATGTTCACACCCTTCATTACTTTAATGGTGCTGTTGAACCATACATTACACAACTATTAGGTACAATTTACGATCAAGAATTCACAACAATCGAACATTTAAGCTGGTAGCTTGGAACGGCAAGCTACACAGTTCACAACCATGAGGTTTGCAAAAGACAGAGTCGATCATCATAATGGCAAGTTCCCTTGATGCTGAACATCAGACATCGATCAGCAGTTGAGCAAATACACATAGAAAAGCTAGGCGCAACCAATAGAGGCAAAAAAGGATGTGGCCTTCCTCTTTAGGTGATTAGGTATCATGGACAGGTCTGTAAATGGAAAAATATGGCATAAGTGCATAGATTATGATAGGGCAATAAAGTTACGGGCTATTGAAACATCTAGATCATAACTCTAAGCAATTAATCTGTCATGTGATTGCTCCCCCCTCTTTTGGAGTTTTGGTGATTAAGTATTTTCTCAAAATCATTACTTACCAAGTAAATAAATATTCATGACCCCACACCTACATGATCTGCTGACATGTCTTGGTAGCAAATGAAAATAAGTAAATAGTGAACAACACAACTAAAGAAGAAGAAAAAAAATCAAAAATGATTAATATACTAAGCTTTGCCTTGCAGGTTTGAATTACATCTTAGCATTAGCACACTGGTAAATAGTCATATTGCAATCTGCAGGTATAGTGTTATAGGTGCCATAAAAACATAAACTACATCTGACTACTTATTAGGGAATCAGAACTACAGATTAAATCGTTCTTTTTTCAACATAACCCGAACAAAAGAACATATGTTGTCGTGTTATTTTAACTTATTGTTGAAGCAAACATGCCTATGAGAAGTATCTGTGTAGTTATGAAATCTATGCATACGAGAAGTAGTTGTGTAGTTATGAAATCTTGACAACTTTTGCACCAGCATTGCGAGCAGATAAAACCTGTGAATGCTAGAAAGCAAATATGCCAAAGAACAAAAATATGATCACATAACTCAAAAGTGTTTTACTTGAATTTGATGGAAGCTTACACATCGAGGGATACATACTTAAACTGGTGTCGGCACTCCTGGAATATACATAACAATTACTTTCTTTAAGAAATGAGGTATATCATGAAAGAAACATCCCTTGCTAGTGTGCTGCAGAAGCACAATGCACAACAATACAAAACCAACCATTTCACAAGTTACATGCCATGGGCGGAACCAGCAAAGGACTTGATAATTTTTTAAACAAAAATCCAAGTTGGTCGCATACACTTGTTTGCAAGTAAATCAGATCTAAATACAAATCCTCTAGGACCAAGTGTATGATCAGTGTCAGACAGAGCACAACAAAACAACGGGTATAAGATACATGATAAGTGATTGTAGAGTTGTATAGCTGAATTACTGTCATAACTAACATGGGCAAAGCTGTTAATCTGACAAACAAGAAAGCAATGACTATAGGGCATTATTGTGGATTCCACTCTCAACGAGTAACATTTCAACACTGTAGCATTATCATCTGCTAATTTTAATTTTAATTTAGGAATCATCATGAAATCTTCCCACTTCTCTAAACCCCCTCTCTCCACTACATTCACTTGCTCCCACTACTACCTGAATCAACTAAGAAACTACATTCACTTGCTCTCACTGCTACCTGAATCAACTAAGAAACGGATAAGAAATCAGGGAGTCTATGAATTGACGAATCCCCAAACCAAACCAATTCACAGTACTTGATGAGTGGGATGAACCCGCTGTAGCTCACTGTTGCCTATAGAGTCCACCACTCTAGCATGTGTCAGAGTGCTCAAAGCAACTGCTAGATGGTCGAGATCCACGAGCCACCCTAGCTGGATGCCGCCTCTTCCCCGATCTCTGCTCCCACATGATGAGGAACTCGTAGATCCGGTGGAAGCAGGAACTGTGGCAGAACCGCTCGAAACAACTTACTTCTGGAGGTGCTTGTCTTTCACTAGACACTAAGCACCCTAAGAGTGAGCTACATCAGACAGTTCTGTCGAGCACACCCCATGGAAGAACCCAAAAATCCATATTTTTCAACAGGATCATAAATGGGAGAATAAAGCTTACAATATTTTAGCAATTTCTTACATCACTTTCCGTGCAACATCATAGTATAATATTTATTGTTTATAACAACGGAATATAACCATGTTATCAGAGTTTCAGCGGAAATAAAATCATTTAATGACAAGTCAAACATTAACATAATGATCCGTTATATACATCATAACATGTTATAAGTTTTTTCATTGTAAAATCATTTTGGGTGGAAGTTTCAAATAAACTCTATGTCCGCAACATTATGTAAATCCTCGCTGAGCCCACCAGGAGGTTTTCATACATAAGTGTCAGCTCCACATGTTCCTGTCACCTGCAACAGGGTAGAACAAACTCTGAGTACTCAATTGTACTCCGCAAGGCTTACCCGTCAGGAGGAAAGAAAAGACTCCAAGGATATGCAAGGCTATCTGACTTGTGGGTTATTGTATCTGCGGAAGCATTACTAAACTTACGTCCTTATATTAAATTTTATTAGCAGTCATCATTAGTCCATTACTAACCATTCTATGTAAGCACCTGTGCTACTTTCAAGCAGGTGGTAAGCAATCAGAACCATTTTACCATCTTTCATATTTCAGTTCTTACTACGGTGCTAGATCGTAGTCAAGTCATACCGTATCACACGACGATTCGTGAACCAATGTATCCCAGCTGGGTACCCTGAAACACACGCCCGCTTGTACCTCAGGCACAAGCAGGACCAACCCACCACTCTCCTATCAAGGGGTCCAGGTCCCCATCCAAACTTGGACTCCAAGCCCCCACACCTGAGTCTCGGACTGTAACACCCTCGGTGTTACACTATAAATCATTTACTAAAATATGACATGAGCATCATGTTTATGTGTTAATGAATGTAATAAAGTGTGTAGATTAATTTTTGTAACTCAAAACGATCAACTAGAATGTGAAACGAAAGTTAATTCATTAGTCATGTTATGTCACTTGAGGTTGAAAACCAATTTTTATTAAGTAAAAATGCTATGAAACATATATGTGACACTTAAAGAAAGTTGAAAGTACAAACTTTGTAGATGGTAATGAAATACTTATTGTTAAAAAATATTATTGTTAGATAGTATTTCTAATAGCTTAGAAATGAAACTTGGATTAAAATTCAGCCCAAGATTTAGCAAATTTTCAAAGTTGAAAACGGTGTGACAATGCTATGTTAGTGAATTAATTCTGAAAAATTTAGCTAAAGGCTTGTGCTATATTTTTGCTTGGTGGGTTGCATCCAAGTAAGTACTTGTCAATGGTATAGGGGTTGGTTTAGTTAGTATGTGCTTTGATCATTAATTAATTGCTACAAAAGGTAGAAAATGTTGTTTGGGCGCCGGTTGACAGCATCCACTTGGCATGCTTATATTTTCTTTTCTAGTCTACCTTGGTCCAAGTATGTTGCTCCATTCAGTAGCCCTAGGTACCATCTTCAGCTTGCCTGAGTTGGTTGGGTCATAACCGAGCTAGATGGGTCATGGCTGATGCTTTAAAAAGTGTGCACACCGTGTTTTGGGCCAGTTAGCCGGGTGTGCGCGGTCACCGCGCGCCTAGGGGGCCGCTGGCCACCCTAACCACGTGTCTGGCGCGCTGCATGCTGCTGCTGGCGCTGCTGTCGGTGCCACTGTGGCTGCACACGCCATCCTGTTGCGCTACCCTGCTCCACTGGCCACTGGTGCCACTACCGTCACGTCACCGCTGTAGCGCGCACCGCGCTTCACTGGCCCCGCTGTCCCATCGTCACTTCGTCATCCTGTCTCTGCACGACTTTATGGTTTTCCATTGTCGCTACTGGCGCCGGGCCGCGTTGCTGCTGCCGCTTACCACCGCGTGCACGTGGGGTGCCGTAGCCGCGCTCGCGCCGTCGCCTCGCCTTAATGGTGCTGCGGCCGCGCAGTCTACTCCCACCTGCCCTCCGCGCCCATGCATGTGGTCCGACCGTGTATCGTGTAGTTTGGTCGTAGGTGCAGATGCATGTTCGGCTGGCCGCTTGCCGCCAAGGCCAATCGAGCAGTGCCCTGTCGCATCTATTTCTCCCTCTTCCTCTGTTCTCGTCGTCG